GTGAGTGTCAAAGTGAACCAGTCCGAGCCTCATTTCCACTTTCAAATGGTGGGCAAGTACAAGCCCATCACCGGCCTCCCTAACTCGAACAAGGACTAGAAGGAGAAGTTTGTCTGGGTCGTGGGGGACGACTTGGACCTGGGCTGCTCGAACTGGCCCCAAATAAGGAGGGAAGCGCTAATGGCTGACGATTTGCTTGACGCCGAGAGGGATGCACAAGATCAAATCAAGGCATATGCTGGCTCTCGCCGAGTGGAGCATCTGCTTGACAACTGGGTCTTGCGGGTTTCCAATATATTTGTCGTGCCTCCCTCCGCCAAGGACCAAGAGAGGGCTTCGGCTCTGATCCTAGAACAGTGGAAGCGGCGATGGCACCGACCTCTTCCTCTGGACGACCCCCAGGAGACTGTTAGCAAGGCCGGAGAAGCGTTCTCCGCCGGGACTTGGCTCCATTGGAGGCTGAGGCAACCGAATGGTAGCCTTCTGCTACCCTTGTCCATAGGCGAAGGAGGAGACCGCAGAGGGATTGAAGAGCAAATACCTCAGGCCGACGGCCGAGGTGGTCGAGACCGACGTTATCCAGGTGGAAGAGTCGGCCTTGGAAGAGCAGGTTAAGGCTCCTAGAAAAGTAGTTTAGGGTGAGGCAAAGAGCCTCCGCCAGACAAAGAGCGGGCATCCGTCGGCCGCACCAAGCCATCTCGTCGCCGGGGGAAAGATCCGGTCGCTGAGGAGATGGCTCCCCTCGCAGGGTTGGAGTTCCCCTACCCTTACTGTGTTGCGAAGATTAGGGAGGAAGAATGAGATAGGATGAGGCAGTACCTCGTTGGGTCCTCGGGGGTCGGCCCTCAATTTGGTCAGGAGCCTGACCCAGAGCACCGGTAGAAGCCTACCCACCATCTCGACGTCAAGGGGTCTGTCCTTGGCTCTCATCTGACACAGGCGAGAGCAGTAGAGTAGTTCTGACTTCCCCGTGACGAGGAGTTCTTGGGAGGAGTTCCCAATGATGGTCTCCACCAAAGCCTCCGAAGCTACTTGGTCCCAGGGGTGTTGGTGGAGCAAGAGAAATTTGGCCGGATGGAACAGGTCCAGTCTTCGTATCTCAAGCTTTTAGGGGAGGTAACTTCCCTGACGACTCAGAATGGGCTACGGAGTCGTCAGCCCTAAGAGATTCCGAGATCAAAAGGCTCAGGCGAGAGGTGGACGAGAGCAATAGGAAGACTAGGAGGCTGGATGAGGCTCTCCAAGAAAGGGACTGTGCTAAGGTGTAGGTCGAAGCCGAGAAGCAGGCGGTGTTGCATGCAAAGCGTCAGCTGGACGAGGAGCATGTAGCGCTCATCAAGCTTCAAGGGGAGGTCGCCCGCCTACAGAAAGTCCTTGGCGATGGCCTTGGCGATGGCCCATAGCCATAACGCCTGCCTTGAGTCCGAGCCTTACCATGAGAGAATCATAGAGGAGTACCGCTAGAGCCATATCGAAAAGACGGAGGTGGCGATAGCCTACAAGACTGGGTACGATTATCTCACTGCGCAGCTTCTAGTCAAGATGAGGAACCCACCCGGTCGCTTCCACTACCCACCCATCGTGACCAAGTGTCTGGACGAGTTGGTGGAGGTGGAAGCACTTGGGGGAGGACTTGATCTTGGCGAGGATGAGGGGGGTTCGGACAATGAATCTCCTGGGGCTCTAGGCGGGAGAACCAATGAAGGAGGTGACTGCTCGATTCCCCCGCTGACGGTGGCTAGCGACTTTTTGCCTCTGACCCGAGGAGCGGAGATGGACCGTTCCTAGTTCTTAAAATTTTCTATCTCGCCTTTGCGTTGTACATGTGTACATGTACTTGTAGATACACCATTATAAATCAATAAAGAGATACATTTTATCCCTAAATTAATTTCTTTATGCTGTGCAATCTTATTTTGGAGTTTCTGGATGAATTAGCTCATGGGCTCGTAAACTTATCCGTTTAATCGATGAGGGCTCGTCCCTCGTTAAGAAGGCATATGTTGAACTTAAATAGTCATTTTGCTTTTGTTTTTGTGTCTTGGTTTAGAAGAAGATTGAGTCGACAACTTCCGTAGATTGGCATTTGAACCCCCTTAGGGGTAGGTGCCTGAGAGTCATGAGTCAGCTTCATGAAGGGTCGACTACTTTTGTGGAGAGTTAACACAATGGTTCTTTCAAGCATGTTCGCTGTCGGCTCTATAAGGTAGACTAGGTCGGGTCGACTGTTTATTGAATAGATGTCATTTGGTGAGTTTCCAGATGTCTTTATTAGGTAGGTGAAACGTCACTGTTCGAAATGACGTGATGACGTCATCGGAAGCCAAAAGGCTGATGTCGCTTTAATTTTCGAATGAAGAGGCGTGGAGTAAAGAGGGAGACACTTCGAGTTTCATGCGAACCGTTTAGATTTCAAGGTGTATCTCGTCCATTCATTTTGAATTGAGCCGACCATTTAGATTATTCCACGTGTCTTCCTCGGGTGCTATATATAGTTCACTGGTTGTCAAAGGGAGATCTTTTCCACAAACTCTTGCTCTAGATTCTCGGCGT